GAGGACAAAAGTATAGTGTAACAATCAGTCTTCACAGAAAAAGCTGTGCGCGCGCCCTGCTACAGGGAGGTTTGGTTGACCGTCTAATAACGTTTGCGGAGACTACAGGTTATGAACCACTAACAATGCAGTAACAATCTATTTGTTTACCCTAAAAGCTTTCTGCGATAAAATGTATATATTATGAAAATGCAAAACCAATTCTTTCGTGTTAGAAGTTGCAAATCTTCGTTATCTATGATGCTTGTCGTTGCTCAGGGGTCTTTTTATCCGCTATTATTTGCCTAGGCGTCGTCGCCAAGTAAATGCGTCTTTTTGCGTCATCAAAATGCGACTATGTTCGGCCGTAAATAAACATCGGGAATGGAGTCGGAACGGCATGGAAAAACACTCCAGACATTTTAACCTTTTTTTTTTTTTTAAGATTCATACTGATCGCACAGAGTTATATTTTACAAGTCCATTCCTCACGTCCCGCGTATTGTTCTCAAGCCATAAAGCAGGCATTAATCGTCTACAACCCGCTAAAGGTTGAGCATTTATTAAATCCTATATTTAGGTGTGGTAGACATTTAAGACGCCTGTTAAACGAGTCTCATTGAATATAAGATGTAGTTAGTATGCAGGATTACGGTGTGATTAGGGGGAGATCATTTTGTGCCTGCTTTGAAAACATCGAGGTGATTTCCGGGGCATTCTGGAGAAATAAAGGTTTGACGATTCTTTTCTTTACTTGTTAATTAATCAACATGCTGTAATCTGCCTTTTGATTTGCAGTATTAATCCCTGATGCCGTCCTCATTTGTGCACAGATGGTCCTGTCTTTGGTGAACCTGTGCGCCCGGGAGGTGGTGAGCGACCACAGCTCTTCGCCGTATTGGTTAAGTTGTGTGCCGAGGGAGCTCTACCGAGCGTTGCTGGACGCCGCCTTCACCCACTGCCGTCCTCTAGCTGTCGGTGAGCTCGTCCAGCGGTGGCCCGAGAGAACACTGACCGTTGGAGGCAGCAGAAAAGCGGGCGAGTGCCCTCCGAACCGCCTCTGCGTTCAGGCTCTGCTGCTGGCTGTGGTCAGGGGACTGACGGACAAAAGGTACGGATGTGTTCTCTCTACATGTCCCTTTTCAATTTCATGACAAAGTGTGCCATAAAAGAGACATGCCCAGTACAGTGCCATGTTATTCATAGAAATGAAATTCATCATCACAGCATGTGACATATCTCTGACATTTAAAGATGCAGAACAGCATGGATAAATATAGCATTTATAACAGTTTAGT